TTGTGTGTGCATCCTTCATACCCCTGAACATCGAACACAGAAAATAGGATTTGCCACTGACCACATGGGTTTGTCCTGGACCCCCCAAACTCACTGCACAGTACATCTGCCTTTAAAAGACAGCCACAGTGGGATGAACAATGGCTGGCATCAGATCAGATAACCAGCATCGTTATCCATTGTTAACCCGGGTAACTCCTCTCTGCGCGGAGCGGCTCTGAAAGCTTCTCTGCACCTGTTCTTCCCTCTTGTACAAAGCTAAGCATTCCAAGCTCCTAGGAGCACTGGGAGGGCGACCAATCTCACGGGCAGACTCCTCAGGTGATGCCCGGCCCTTTGGTAGGGGTGCCAGGGACAATGGCTTTCCTTCCCGCCGAGGAAGCACCAGGGGCCACCTTGATCATGCCCCTGCTGCTGGGCGTCAGGGTGCCCAGACCCTCTCATACCAGGACGCCCCCTGCTGTGTGTCTCATCACAGGGACACCTGCTCCAGAGTGACCTGGGGAGCTTGTTAAAGACACAGATGCCTGACCGGCACCAGCTCGCCTGTGACCTCCCACTGTGGGTCTCCAGGCCCACATCCCCACATCTGGATTCACGTGCTCAGTGACATGGAGACCCCCGTCTCCTGAGGTCATTGAGAGGTGGTAGTGCAGAGGCTGCTTTGGGGCTGTTCCAAGCCCATTTGACCTTGGACTTTTGTAGGTTCCTCCCAGGGGGCGGAGGGAGTAGGGTGGACAGGTACTCTGGGGCTGACCCTTAGTTCTCTGAACTGGAAGGGACCTCAGGAGACCAGCTTCCCTGACCTTAGTCCTTTGGGTGGGTTTGCAGAAGAGCTGGCCCAGGCGCTGAACTGGGACCTGAGTAGCCCTCAGGAGTAGCCCGAGTGGTCCCACTGCCCACTGCCAGGCAGGCTGGGGAAGATCAAAGCCTGACCCAGATCCAAGGGGTCCAGGAGCGAGGAGCAGAAGCCAAAAGCAACGTGTGGGCTTGGGAGGTGTGCAGAGACCATATTTTGCCATCTCAGCTGCGGTTCCCATGTCCTGGGCCAGGCCAAGGGCACAGCCTTTGCAGCCAGACCGCCGGCTTCACCACTCACCCGCTGGGTGACCCGGGGCAAGTGACCAAGCTGTCTGTGCCTCTGTTTCTTCTCTGATTAAATGGAGATACTATAGAGCTGCCTCCTCTAGTGGCTGTGAGGGTTCAGGGAATCAATGCATGTGGAGGGCAGCACCAAGCCTGGTTTCGAGTGAGCAGTGCACTAATGAATCTTCCGGTACAAATAGGATTATTAATCATAGGGTGCTTCTGCCAGAAGGGGATACGAATCTCATCCAGCGTAATTATCCTCCCCTATTTAGGACCTCTCCCGACAGATCTGTCCATCCGTTCATTCCTACAAATACTCCATTCTTTACTCTTACAAAGATAATTACATATCTGCTTTGTTTTAGGCACAGGCCTAGGTGCTAGGGATGTACAGTGAATTTGTAGCTTATTTCCTAGAAGGAGAGAAAAAAACAAACTAGTAGACAAATTAAAAAATCAAGTTTTAGGGGCACCCGGCTGGCTTAGTCGGTTAGCGTCCAACTCTTGATCTCAGCTCAGGTCATGATCTCATGGTCTGTAGGTTTGAGCCACCCATCAGGCTCCGTGCTGACAGCGTGGAGCCTGCTTGGGATTCTCTCTCTCTCCACCTCTCCCCTACTTGCATGTATGCTCATGCACTCTCTCTCTCTTTCAAAATAAATACATATTAAAAAATAAATACATAGGGTTGCCTGGGTGGCTCAGTCAGTTAAGCCTCCGACTCTTGATTTCAGCTCAGGTCATGATCTCACAGCCCATGGGTTTGAGCCCCACATCTGGCTCTGTGTTGATGGTGCAGGGCCTGCTTGGGATTCTCTCTCTCCCTCTCTCTTTGTCTCTCTCTCTCTTTGTCTCTCTCTCCCTCTCAAATAAATAAACTTAAAAAATAAATAGATAAATAAGTAAAAATTAAGTTTTAAATGGTGATAAGAAAATACCTCCTGATAAATGAATAGAAAGCAGTGGAATCAAGGAGGACTTCTCAGAGGAGGTAACATTTGAGGAAGGAACTGATAAGCAGGTCCAAGAAAGAGTATGCTAGGCACTGTCAAGACTTTGACATTTAAGAGTAACTCATCCCTGTAAGAGATGACCCTAGCCACAGGAGGAGAGAGGCCGTACCCAGTAAACCCACCGTCTCCCTTGTCTCCTGGAGAAGCAGGACTCCGAGGGTCCTGGAAGCAGAGAGTAAGTCTCGCTGGAGGTGGCAAGCAGAAAAGGGTGGGCATGTCAGAGAATCCTGGCAGACAAGGGAGAGCTTCAGTTAATGAGCCAACACATCTTACTAATTGCTGGGCATCGTCGAGGGCACTGAGAGACAAGGACAAAGCAAAGGTTTCTGCCCTCGTGGGCCCGACACTCTGGTGGAGAAAGCCAGACAATAAATCTATCCACAGATACAACAGTGGAAGGAACAGGGGATGGGGACAGCATGACCGGCAGTGGGCTGCTCTACATTAGAGGCGGATGGCTTCTCTAAGGAGGTAATAATTTGCAGCCTGACTGATGAGAAGGGACCAGCCTGGCAGAGCTCTGGGGGAGGAGCTTTCTAGTTAGAAAAGCAAGTGCAAAGGCCCTGGGGTAGAAAAGAGCTTGCCTTCTTGTTGGGCCAGATACAGGTGCCTGAAACAGGAATCAGTGGAAAGTGATGTGGAAGACGGGTAGGGGCCAGCTAATGTACAGCCCTGTGGACCATGGGAAGAAATGTGGATTTTTTTTTCCTGAGTGCACTGGGAGAATTTTTAGTTGGGGAGAGAGCATGATCTGCCATATGACTTTGCCCCTCTGGCTGCTGTGTGGCAAGTAGAGTGCTGGCAGGCGTGAAAAATAAGTACCCACGTGATGGCTGGTAGTTGAAGAGGGAAAGTGGCCAGAGTGGCAATGGCAAGCAGTGGTGGTGAAGGTGGAGTGCCAGGGTCAGACTCGGGATGGATTTTGGAGGTGCCGCTGACACCATTAGTTGGACTGGATGTCAGGGTAGGGCAACAAGAAAAACCAGGAACAATGCCCAGGCCTTTGATCTGAGCTCCACAGCAGGATTAGTCAGGCCCTTGGGGAGTGAACTTGGCCACCTGGCAAGCTAGCGGTAGAGCCAGGACCAGAAAATCCCAGGGTCAAGGTTGCCGGAGACTCACTCACCCCAACCACCCACCACCTGTCTTAAAAGAACCTCAGTTCCAAGTCCCACAGCCTGGCCCCCAGTGGCCCTTAGAGGAGGCTGACATGCCAGAACCCTGTGCCTGAGAATATCTTGGGAGATGAATTACCTATGCACTTGATAACCTGTATTCCAGAAGCGAAATCACTGCTGGCTTAACCAGTGGAGTATGAATTAGCAGCTAATTATAATTGCCACCAATTAATCACCAGGGCCAAGGCTGACTTAATTTCTACAGCTCGACTATCACCTGGGTGCAGTCATCTTTGATCCTTTGAGAAAGCAAGGAGCTCCTTTGTGAGGCTTTAATTGTCCTCATAAGCCCGAGCCACGATGTGTCTGTTCCCCAGCACGTACACAGTTGCTCATCTAAGGAGTCAGTCCAGGACAGCAGGGCAAAGGCTGCCAGATCATGGCTCGCTCTAGTGCACGGAAGGGGCCGGTTTATGCTGCAGCATCTGAAACTCCAAACTTCAGGACTTGGGGGAGGCAGGGGTGTGTGTGGGGGGGGCTATGTCACATTGAAGGCTAGCCTCTTCTACTCTAGTATAATATGACTGCCCCCATTGCAGACACCCAGCACAGGAGTCTCATTCCATAACATTCATCAAGGGCCTCTCATGGACCAGGAGTCCTCTCCTTACACCTCTGTGAGGTGACTCTCACCACTTCCGTTTTCCACCTGAAAGGACACGCTATTTGCCCGGGGTTAGACTCACAGAGAGGGTCCCTACCCAGATCTGTCAGGTGACTCACTGAACATTTATCTTTTGTGGCAAGCACTGTGCTAAGGACTAAAGATAGAGGAGTGATTGCCCTTATAACATTTATATTTTAGGAGAAGAGACAAAAGAAAACGAATATATCAAACAGTAGTAAGCTCTGTGTCGAACAAAATGCAGGGCAAAGAGGTAGAGAGTATGGGGGGTGGAGAAGGATGGCCAGGAAGGCCTCTATGGGCAGGAGGATTTAAACAGAGACCTGAGAGGCACCTGGGTGGCTCAGTCGGTTAAGCGTCTGACTTCAGCTCAGGTCATGGTCTCACAGTTCGTGGGTTCGAGCCCCGCGTCAGGCTCCGTGCTGACAGCTCAGAGCCTAGAGCCTGCTTTGGATTCTGTGTCTCCTTCTCTCTCTGCCCCTTCCTCTCTCGTGCTCTGTCTCACTCTGTCTCTTAAAAATAAATAAATGTAAAAATTTTTTTAAAAATTTAAGGGTGCGGTTCAGTAGCATTCAGCAATTTGCCGTGTTGTGCGCCCACCACAACCATCCATCCGTCCCCAGAGCTCTTTTCGTCCTGCAAAACTGGAAGTCTACCCCCCTGTAAACACTGACTCACCTCGCCCCCAGCCCCAGTCCCCGGCCACCATTCTATTTTCTGTCTCTATGAACTTAGGGATGCGCACTGTGCTTGGGTTTTGATCCATATTGTCAGATTGCTGCTCTCGGTGGTTAAGGTCACTCCCGGCACCTATGTCCTCCAGCACCTACCTGTTTCACCACCTCCTTAACAGCTCTGGGACTGAAAACACATCTTTGCTCATTTGGTGAAAAGGGCCACTTCGCTCCTGGTCAGTGGTTTTCAGTGTTGCATACTCTTCTGTCCGGGAGGCTGTCCTGTGGTTTCACAGGCTGCTTCCTGCGGGGCTGTGAGTGTAGGGCATTTCCAGGGTTTGGGTCTTACCCGTTACACCGCTGTTAGCATCTCTGCGCTTAAAGCCAAACTGATTCTCTGCCCTTGTTTCTCTCTTTCAAGGGCGCTACGATGCGCGGGCCCGGGTCCTCATCTGCCACATGACCTCCCTCTTCCACATGCCCGTGGGGGAGCTGGATCTGCTTGAAGAGACGTTCCTTGAGAGCCTGAAGGAAACCAAAGAGGAGGAATCTGAGTAAGGGAGCCATGTGACCCAGCCCCCCTTGCCAGGAATCAGGAACTTGCACGGGAGTGCACTTTGCAGATAACAGAGGTTCCCTTCTCTCCCACGACCCCGTCAGGAGATGGTCCCTTGGGGTGGAAAGAGCACTGGACTGAGAGTCCCAGGGCAGCCCTGACTCGCCATGTTACTTCCCCTCTCAGGGCCCCAGTCCTCACTTGTAGGAAATGGGGATTGAAAGGATCATTACTGAGACCCGGGAGTCTGTGGCTTGAACTTTGCATGGCCCCTACACCCTGCTCCGCCTCAGGCTCTTGTGACACCTTGTCCAGTGGCTTAGATTAAAATCCTACCTCTGACACCCTGCTGCTTTTTGACCTTGGGCAGGCGCCCCCCCCCCCTCCTTCTCTAAACCACACTATTCTTATCTGTAAAATGGGAATAAAGATAGTCTTCCCAGGGCCACTGAAAAACGAACATAGTCACATGGAGGGCTTGGCCTGGGGCTGGCACGTAGCACGGGCTCAGTAGATATGAGTCCGTCCCTTCCCCCACGGCCGCCTGTACCTACCGCTGCAGAGTGACTTTGCTATCTGTGTGTGATTGGGAGCATGCAGAGGGAAAGTATCCTGGTAACTTGGCCAGAGCTCAGCTCTCTGTGGAACACCTCACGCAGGATCTGATCCCAGAGCAATAAAGTCAGTTCCAGCCACAGCCTAATTGCGGGCTCCTTGAACCCGATGTCCTTTTGGTCTGGGCCACCGTGGCTGTCTCTGAGCAGCCGGACTGAGCCAGTTCGGTCCTGCTGGGAATTTAGCCTTGAAGCCAGGTTCAGGGGCCAGAGCTGCCCTCCTGCCAGGAAGGAAGGGGTTGTTTCCTGGAGAAAGGAGGAACCTGGATCTGCTGAAATGACCTGAAAACTGACTCGTTTTGACTCCCAGAGCTGTGCCAGTAAAGAAACATGTGGACCCAGGCCAATTACCATAATCACCCATGCCGCCCAGATTCTCTGGCTGTATTGCATGTGGGTGCACACACAGACATACACATGCTAGTGCACGCGCCTTGAAATGCAGGGATCTTAGCTATGGTTGCAAATCTTACTATCAGAAAAAGCATATCGTCGAAAGGATTTGTTCTGATAATACTAGTCATGCCAGATCGGGGACGCTGTGAGACAGGTTCTAAAATGGCCACTTCCCAGCGTGTGACATTGGAGAAATTATTTATCTTCTCTGGGCTTCAGGTTGCTTCTCCGCAGAACGGGGCTCATAATAGTGCCCTCCTTCCAGGGCCTTCGGAGGCCTCAAATGAGTTCATACAAGTGCTCTGCGCAGGCTCTGCCTGGGGGGAGCTAGTTGACAAACATCATCAGTTGCCTCAGCACAGTCGTCATCGCTGATAACCCTACATACGGACCCTCTCGTCATAAAACTACTCCATGTGTGTAATGTTCTTTAATTCCGTCTTGGGGACTGTGGAGACCTCTCAGGTTCTACTTTGGTCTCTGTCAGGGGAAGCTGACAGCTGTGAGGCCGGGAGACCTAGTCTCAGCCTAGTCTTAACGCGATTCCGCTCAGTGTCTGTGCAGCCCTGGGGCATGTGGTTTTCCCTCTCTGGTCAACGGCACCGGTTTTTTCTCCTCTACGAGCACAGTATCACATTTTGTGCAGGTTTCTTTTAGCTCCAAGGTTTGCGTTTCTGCAAGGTGAGCTGATCACTCGACACCCTGAGGCGATTCTTTGCGGCTTGGGTCCAGAGTGTAAGGTACTACATTGCTGTTCTCGGGTCCCCCCCCATCTGAACCCTGAGGCCATCCAGGCTTCCCCCACATTCTTGGTGACCTCACTTCTCCGAGCCTCAGTTCCTTCACCTCTAACGTGAGGGTAATGGCAGTATCCCCGATATACGGCTGTTAAAAGGATTAAACGAATACATTATCAAAAGCTTGGAACAGCGCCTAGCACATAGTAGGTCCCGATAACTGTTGGCTAATGTGCTGTGGAGGCTGACATTGACCACATCAGTCAACATCTAGCTTTCACTAAGCACTTAGTAGCTGCAGGACAGGATGCCCTTCTCCTCTGATGAGCATACAAGCCTCTGAGGGTTTTGCAGAAGAAGACACAGAAGGTCAGAGGGGCGACTGCCCCACCCAGGGTCACACCACTGGCCGTCAGATTCAACTACCATATCCATCTGAACGGCCCACCTCATGGTTGACAAGCCCAAGTTCTGAAAGGGAAAAAAAAAAAAAAGCAGTAAAGATAATTCTTAGTGGAGCTTTCCAAGCTTTTACTAGGAAAGTGTCTCTGGATTTCCCAGAAATAAACTCACCCTCTAGCAACTGGAGAAGGTGGTTAAAAAAGAAAACAAGAATGTGGTGGTGATGGTGATAAGGTCACGGGCAATAAGATGGCAGTGGGTGACATTTATTTGTAGATCCAGGAGACGGGCAGTGGTGGCGTCTTCACTGTCTATCTGTGGCTTCAGCCTCTGTCCTGGGGAGGCTGACATGGAATGCCAACTCAAGGTCATTTCTGGCACCCCAGGCCATGAGTGTGGTCAGGACCGTATGATGGCAGAGAGTGGCCTGACATCTAACCGGTGGGCAGTCAGTGATGGGAACGGGGCTCCGTGTAGATTTAGCATTGTGATCTGAATCCCCACTTCCTAAAACAGGAAGCATCATAGACGTAACTCTGAGCCAACGTCTCCTGTGGTGCTTTAGATATTGAAATTCAGACAGTAGAACTAATTGCAGGGGTAAAATGCTGTGATAATTAATGATGATTGGGAAGGCTGTTCGTTTTATGTATGAAACAGTTATTAAGGTTTGAGTACTTAAGTAAGAAAATCGGTTCAGGTAAACATTAAGAGAGAGGGAGTTCGTCGAGTAACTTTGGGGAAAATATTGCATTCTCTTTGATTCAGCAAACATTTATAAACATTTCAATAATAATACAAAGCTGAATACTAGAGATTAGAGTGTATCATCCATCTAATCTTTGGAAAATGGATTTGATTATACCAGCATTCATACTTTTAATAAAACAGCTTCAAACCACATTTGACTTTTTAGTTATTTTATTCCCTTTAGGCTGTGAGTTTCCCCCTCCATAAACGCAGCTCAAAGGGAAGATCATCTAGTATCGTGGATGTGCAGATGTCACTGCAGGAACAATCTAGAAGCAGAAATTTATGAGATGTTATAACCTTCCAGACTTGTACTGATATCTCAGAAGCTTTATTATTGATGGTGATTGGCCTGTTCTCTGGCTAAATATTTTATGTAGCCAAAATGCTCCTCTGGTTTTGTAGATGTGGGCAATGATCGGGGGAATAGAGACTGCAGCAATATGTTTATGTCCAGTCCTCGTTGGAATGATTAGGTCCTGCTTAAGAAACATCTTCTGAGCACCCTCCAGGCCCAGGACAAGCTGCTGAGGGTGGAAATCAAGAAAAGTCTTATCGTTCAATCCTCAAACTTAAGAGACAGAGGGTCCCTGGAGGGCTTATTCCAGGTTCAGCTTCCTCACCCTCCTGCCCAGAGCTTCTGGCCCAGGAAGTGGTGCCTTTTTTTTTTTTAATGTTTATTTATTTTTAAGAGAGACAATATGTACAAGCGGGAGAGAGACGGAGAGAGAGGGGCACAGAGGATCTGAAGCAGGCTCTGTGCTGATAACAGACAGCCCGACGTGGGGTTCAAACTCATGAACTCATGAACCGCACGATCATGCCCTGAACCGAAGTGCCATGCTTAAAGCGACTGAGCCACCCAGGTGCCCCAGGAAGCAGTGCTTTGAACCACTACCCTGGGGTCTTATGATACAGTTGACAAAAGCATTCATTCCAGCATTCATATTGCTCTTTGAAAAACCAATGGTCTAGAATTCCATGCTCAGGAAAGAAGGTGAGGGGCCTCCAGGCAGGCTTCCTGGAGGAGGAATAATGTCATCTTGAATGATGACTAATGTTTAGCCAGTCAAAGGAAGGTGAGAAGATGAGACAGCAGAGGTCCAGGCAGAGCCCAGGATCTGAGGTGTAGGCAGTGTGTTTTGGAGGGCAGAGTGTGAGAAACTAATGAGCAGTGAAGCTGGAAAGGAGAAAGGGGCCAGGTGTCATGCCAGAGAGGTGACACTGCCCTCACTCAAAGCAGAGGGAGGGCACAGAGGCGGGGAGGGCAGGGGGCAGACAGTCGGGCTTATACTATCACTATGGTGGTACTGTCCATATTCCCCATTGCCGGCTCCTAAGTGAGAAAAGTGAGGAAGCATTGGCTGATCCAGCGAGACCGTGGCAGAGCCGGGCTCAGAGACCTCTGCCCCAAGCTTTCAGACCATTTCCAGCCCGAGTTTGTTGAACAAGATGCCACTGAATCACAACTCAGCCGCCTGTCCCAGTGCGCGATCTTATTGTACATCCTCAGCAACTTGAGTTTTACCTCAGACCTTGAACTCTGCCGAAAGCAGCTCTTTTCCAGTTTCCCTGTTTGCCTGGAATGGTGCTAGCAATTAAGGGCCAAAGTGTATCTCCAGCCTTGTGTGTAGAAAGAAGTAATAATAAAAGGAATGATAATAACAGCAAACATATGCCAGTTATGATATGCCGTCACTGTGTGTGGATGATCTCATTTACCCTCATAATGCCCCGGGAATTAAGTGCTGTTATTACCCCCACCTATTGGGTGAGGCGAGTAATTGGTGCTTAGTCACACAGTTAGTTAAGTGGCTCTCCCATCGGGATAGACTGGGTTTTGCTGCAGTAACAAATGAGCTCCACATCTCAGTGGCTTACAGCACCTGCTTCATAGTATATGTGTCCACTGCACACCAGCGGTGGCTTCAGTCCACACTGTCTTGGTTCTGGGGCCCAGGGGGACAGAGTGACCTCCATCTGGAACATTGGTGCTTCAGGGCAGAGCAGGGGACCTCTGACCTGACTCTTAAAAATTGTGCCACAAGCAACACACATCTCTTCCTCCTACACTCCAGTGGCTAAAGTGGGTCACGGAGCCCCTCATATCCACAGGGCAGGGATGTCGTCTTTCTGCGGGAGGGCCAGTGCAGGCAGGGAGAGTCGAACCTGCTGCTCCACGACCACACTGCAGAGGTCAGAGTCAAGTTCACAGCGTCGAATTCTGATGTCAGAACCCACACTGTGTTGCCATCTTGCCTGCCACTTGGCTAGACACACACAGTTCATGTCTCATCCCATGTCTGATGGCATGAATTTCAGCCATGGGAAGCCAGCACCTGTGGTGTGCATGGTGACTTCTTTCTAATGTTTATTATTTTTGACAGAGAGAGTGGGGGGGGGGGGAGAGGGGACAGAGGATCTGAAGCAGGCTCCTCACTAACAGCAGAGAGCCTGATGTGGGGCCCGAACTCATGAACCGTGAGATCGTGTCTCGAGCCAAAGTTGGATGCTCATCTGACAGAGCCACCCGGGTGCCCCGTGCATGGAGACTTTTATCTTTTGTTTCCACCTCCCTGTAGTGAAATGGCTGTGAAGGGCTATCCCAGACACCCAGGAGGGACGTAGGGAAAGCATTTGTTGAGGTGGTCTGGCAGAGAACCAGAAGGCATAGCAGACCCCACTTCTCTTCCATGACTGGAGGATGAGCTGTTTCTCAATACAATGGATGGTTCCAGAGGAACAAGATGGGAAGCAAACGAGTCTCAGTTGAGGACCATATTGTTCTGCTCACAGATACGCGGCAACACCCAGAAGTGCCCACACGAAGCTCCCTCTCAGCTGGATGAGGAAAGAATGCATTTCATCTCTACAGACACCCCCCCCACCCCCAAGTGGTAGATGTTACGAGTCCCGTTTTACAGAAGAGAGAGCTGAGGCTCAGGGAAGTGCAGTAGCATGGTAACAACAGCCGCCATTTTGGTCGCCCCGTGCAGTGTGCCATGATGCTAAATGCTTGACGGACAGTCCCTTCCTCGGTCCCCACAGCCCCTCAGCAGGTGGATGCTGTTGTCCCTGAACTGGTCTGTAATACAGGACAGTAATGATACAGCTTCCAGGATAAGATAACCCATGAGAAGTACAAAGCACGGTGGCCGGCGAGAAGGAATTCTTCCATAAATATTAACTACTTTCCCTCTTTACCATCATCGTCTGCTCTCATGCCATACACTGAGTTGTTGTCCAAACTCCACCGTCAGCTCAGAGTTCAAGCCCATAAGGACCGCTCCCACCTGCCGCTGGTCCCTTGGACTGCCTTGTCCTCCTTCTTGCCCCACAGCACAGAGGGCTGCACACAGGACCCCAGAGCCAGGCTTAGTGACACTCACAGCGGCCATTCTCACATTCATCTGACCCTGTTCACCCCGAATGCCTCCTTTCTGCTCCACTTAATAGCTTTTAAATGTCAAGTCTGCTGGATTCTATCTATTGCCCCAAGGCCAAGGTCTCCAACTGGCAGACGTTTCCAGAGGGAGCTGGGATCAGATGGGGGGGGAGGATGGGAAGATGGGGGTGATAGAGTCTGTGATTGTATTTGGTACTCGTTCTGGGTCCGTCTGTGCAACGATATTTTTTTGTGCTGCTTTTGCTATTATTATTACTTTTTGTCTTTTTGTTATTCAAATTGCAACCCTGTTAGGATGGATCTGTCTGGTAAGTAGCACGTCCCACACACTGGGATTTCCCAGCGGGGTTGTAGAAACTTTTCAGCTTTTTAAAACCATCGATGGGCCCAGGGTGACTTTGGTACCTTGCTCTGCATGGCAGTGTACCCAGCACTGATCCTAGTTTTGGGCGCTCAGTGGGGCAGGGTGGTCTCAAGGGCTCCCAGGCACAGCCAGCCCTAACGACCAACCTCTTTTCCCCCAGAACCGCTGAGGCATCCCGGAAGAAGAAGGAAAACCGGAGGAAATGGAAGCGCTATCTCCTGATAGGCCTGGCAACCGTCGGAGGCGGGACCGTGATCGGTGAGGCCAGCCCAGGTTGAGCCGGTGTCACGTGGGCCAGTGGGGGGCCAGGGACAGTGCCCAGCTCGCAGCTAGAGAGGAGAGTGTAAGGAGGGCTGCAGGGAGGTGACCCCATCTCCCACTAGGTGCTCCATCAGCAGGAAGTGCATTCTTTATCATCATTAGAAGCATCCATGGAAGGCATCGGGCAGCCGATGGGGGAAGAACCCAGTGGGCCGCATCTTCCCATCTTTACAACCATGGTTCTTCTTGCAGGCGTGACTGGGGGTCTGGCTGCCCCTCTTGTTGCCGCTGGTGCTGCGACAATTATTGGCAGTGCTGGGGCAGCGGCCCTGGGGTCAGTGGCCGGCATCGCTGTCCTGACCTCGCTGTTCGGTGCAGCTGGAGCTGGCCTGACAGGTAAGGCTGCAAAGGAGCCCTAGGGAGGGCCTGGCTGTTCCAGGACATGCCCGGATTCTCACCTGAGATGGCTTCCCAGGGGACAGAGGGGGACACAGCTTTCCTCACACCGGGTCCCAGCCCGGCCAGAGCCTATAGCGGGCTTCCCACAGAACCGGCCCAGGGGCCTGTTGTGGGTCAGAAAAGAGCTGGGTATGAGCACCTGCACCTGGACAGACTTTCTGAGAAGGGTCTGGTTGGACCTGGTGATCTCCATCCAGGAAATTTCCAGGCAGCCCACTTTGGAAACACGTGGGCTTCTTCATGCTCAGAGGCCACGAGGCTACCCTGCATTTACCAGTGTCGCCCGGGGGGGGGGGGGGGGGGCGGGGTTCCAAATCATATGTGCCAACAGCCCCCTAGTCACACACAGAGATTCCTGCTCCACTCTCCAGGTGGGATCCATCCCTCCCCGTGTTGAGAATCATCGTCAGTTTGATCCCCCTTTATGAGAGGCGTATATTACACCCATGACACTTCGTGGACAGGAGAAAAGATATAGAACCAATGGAGTCACGATGGACCAGTGAGTTCCAGCCCCAGCTCTGCCGCTAGAGCCGGCCAGCCTTTGGAAATCTCTGACCCTTGTCTGTAATCGGGGACAGTAATGGCACCTACCTTTAACGGCTTAAAAAATGAGACATGTGTCCAGGGGCGAGGCAAACAGTTGGCACTCACTGTGAGTGTGAGCACAGAGAGCCACTCTCACTAATTCTATCTTCATCTTTGTATCTGCATCTTTAGGGTACAAGATGAAGAAGCGCGTTGGGGCCATTGAAGAGTTCACGTTTCTGCCTCTAACAGAAGGCAGGCAGCTGCATATCACCATTGCCATCACAGGATGGCTGGCATCCGGCAAATACCGTGAGGACCGGGGCCAAAGCAGAGAAGGATGAGGGTGGAGGAGTGGAGCAGGGAGGGCTGGATGTTGAATGACTAGGACTGCTGCTGTGAGCCAAGCCCTGGCCTCGGCTCTTGCCTGTGTATGTCTCTAGAGCCCCATTTTACAGAGGAGGAAACTGAGGCTCAAGAATGTGAGATATCTTCATCCCATATCCATCCACCCATTCATCTATCCACCAAGCTGTCCACACATCCATTTTTTCACCCACCTACCCACCCATCTATCCATTATCCACACACCCACCCATCCACCAGCCATCCATCCGCCCTTCCATCCACCTGTCCATCCATCAGCCATCCACCCTTCCATCCTTGCATCCATCCACCTAATCATCCACCCACTCATCCGTCTTTCCACCCACCCACTCACCTACCTACTCATTCATCTACCCATTCATCCATATATCCACCCATCTACACATCTTTCTATCCATTTATCCATCTATATCTATCTACCCATGCAGCTATTTGTCCACCCAGCCAGCCAGCCAGCCACCCACCCATCCATCCATCCATCCATCCATCCATCCATCCATCTATCCGCCCATACACCCAACCATCCATCTACCCACCCATTCACCTATTAATTCTGGATGGTGCGGTTCCCTCAGCTATAAAATTGGGCTGATCATGGCACCCTATTTCAGAGGCCATGAGAAGGTGACATGTGTTTCTGAAGAGCAGGGGGTAAGTGAGGCATTGAAGAGGGAGGGGCTGAGAAGGAGGCAGAGGCCAGGTCACTGAGGGAGGAGGGCCTCAGTGTCATGCAGAGAGGTGACACTATCCTCAGGGTAGAGGGAGGGCACAGAGCAGGGGAAGGAGGCAGGCAGTCAAGGTTATACTTCCTGCTTGACATTGGTCACTGCAGTCGTGCTGTCCCCATCCCCCCATTGCCGGTCTTTGAGTGAGAAAATTGAGGCATTGGCTGACTCAGCGAGGTCATGGCAGAGCCAGGCGTAGATCCCTCTGCCCCAAGCTTCCAGACTGTTTCCGGCCCAAGTTTGTTGAATGACCGGCCGCCGATGGCAGAACTGCTGCTCGTGAGACAGTAGTGCTTCACACACACAGACGTTCAAAGACTTCATTCTTACCCACTCTATAAAAGGAGATAAGTATTCATCTCCCCACTGTGCAGATGAGCACAGTAAGACTCAGGCTAGCACAGCAGTGTGCCCGCAGTCACCCAACTACTGATGAACACAGAGCCGGGTCTTGAACCCCAGCCAGCTGACTCACAAGATGGCGCTGTACTCTGTCTGCTCCACTAACAGCTGTTGCTCATCAGCAGGGGTGGGCCTCTGCCTCCCCACAAGGGCCAGCGGTCCCCTGTCACCGCCTGTCTGGGACAGCGGGGTGGGGCACCCTCTGTCACAGACAGGAGAGACCCCCATCTACCTGTGTTCTCCCCTAGGTACCTTCAGCGCCCCATGGGCGGCCTTGGCCCGCAGCCGTGAGCAGTACTGCCTGGCCTGGGAGGCCAAGTACCTGATGGAACTTGGCAATGCCCTGGAGACCATCCTCAGTGGCCTCGCCAACATGGTAGCCCAGGAGGCCCTCAAGTACACAGTGTTGTCCGGTAAGCACCCCTCCCCCACCCGGCCACCACCACCAGTGATGGGCCCACTGTTCCCAGCCCACACTGGTACCATATCTTTGCATGCCTGAGGACCCTCCAGCAAGCCAGGCACCATGCTGGGCCTCAGGAACACAGAGAGTTTAAGACTGCATTCCTGTCTATCAAGTTTATGGTCTTCGTGGGGAGGTGACTGGAAAACAGCTGATCGCATTGTCACACAGTGTAGCAGTTAACTATTGCTGCATAACAAGCAACTCCAAAACTCAGTAGTTTAAAACAGCAGTCACCTCTCATAATAGCTGAGAAGTCCTAAGGCTTCATTTGGCTGATCTCAGCTGGGCCTGCTCATGCGTCTGGATCAGGCGACTGTCCATAAGAGCTGGGCTAGCCTTGTCTGGGGCGATTATGACAACTCGGCTCTGCTCCATTTGTCTCTCACCTCCCTCTGGGATCAGCAGGCTAGCCCACACCAGCACTAGAAGTGAGAGCCTGGACCCAACACACAAAACCATTTCAAGTTTCACATTGACTAATATCTCATTGGCCAAAGCAACTCGCATGGCCAAGGCTAGAGTCGAGGGCATGGGCCGGGGCCCTGCAGAATTATAGCACAAAGTGGGCAGATACAGGTTGGGGCGACAAACCAAGGCCATCTTTGGAATCTCACTGATGACAGATGCTTAAACAGAAGGAATCTAGTCCATGAGTCAGAAATGCATGAGCGTCAGTTTTCTACGTTGCTCTTATAGCAGTTTGACAGCACTTGGAAAACTTAACAGGTTCCAAGTTCAAGACTCTGCACGCATTCACTCGGGCATCCATTGGCCAACCCACCACGTCCCTAGAAGGACCTTCCCGACACTTTCATCACTGATATCCCGTCCCCCCCTCCCAACCCCCCAGGCATCGTGGCTGCCCTGACCTGGCCAGCCTCACTCCTCACCGTCGCCAATGTCATCGACAACCCCTGGGGCGTGTGTCTCCATCGATCTGCAGAGGTTGGCAAGCACCTGGCCCACATCCTGCTCTCCCGGCAGCAGGTACCTAGGACTGGTTTTTGGGGGTGAGGGGTGCAGGGGAGAAGGGAAGTGTGGGAGCTGACCTGCGCACAGACGTCAGCCTTAGAGATAAACCCACATGGAGGTAGTCTGGTGGCTTTTGGGGGGTGGATGGCCTTTGCTGCCCTTGTAGCCCAAGTCACAAGAATATACCAGGTTGGACCAGTGAGAATTTCCAGCAGGTAGTGGGGTGAAGACTGAATAACAGGGATGTCGAGGGAACAGACAAAGTGGTCCCTCCCAGAAGCCTAGAGCCTCCATCTGAACAGATCTTCTGTGGTCCAAATACCGTGTAAAATGGTCAGGAAGATAAACCGTCAGTATACTTTTAAAATTTGAATCCAGTACTTGCCAGGGAAATGAAATTGCCCCCGCCCCGCCGCCTTTCAAATAAACTTGAGTAAATGGGAGTCAGACGCTTGGGGAAAAGCTTCAGAGATGACTATATGGTAAGGATTAGTTTTAGCGGCAGGTAGGAGAAAACCCTGAATAACAGTGGCTTGAGCGAGATGGAAGCTTATTTCTCGAGGAGAAGCCTGGGAAGGCAGTCTTGCGCCAGAACGCTGTGCCATGGTGAGGAGGCCCCGGTGCCCTCTGGCTGGGCCCAGGGACACCAGCTGTCAGCATCTGCCCTCCGGGTACACAGGAAAGAGAAAGGCCTTGCAGCCTCTCCACTGACATCTCATTGGCCAGGCCCTCACCGTAGGCGCACACCTACCACTGCAGAAGCAGTATTTTATTCTGGGTGTCAGTGAACATGGCTGAAACCCAGTTACTGGAAGTGGGGGAGGACGGATATTGAGGGACAGCTAGCAGTTTCTGCCACAACGGGTAAACTGCTTGAGAAACCAAGCCCCCATCTGCTTTCTGTATCTGTGCCAGAAGAAATAGGGAAGTCCTGTGGCGGGTCTGGCAGGAAGGCAGAGACCAGAGCGGCCTTGGCTTAGACAAGGTAGATGGTTATCCTCTACCGCGGAATAGCTGGGGGTATCAGCATCCAGGGCAATGCGATGTGTATTCATTTGCGTCTGTTGCTGTAACAAATTACCCCCAGGCTTCCTGGGCTTAAAACAGCACAAATGTATTATCTTACCTCTCTGAGGTCAGAAATCTAAAACGGGGGGGTGGGAGGTGGGAGTGGGGGCGCCTGGGTGGCTCAGTCGGTAAGTGTCCAACTCGTGATTTCGGCTCAGGTCATGATCTCACACTTCATGAGTTCAAGCCCTGCATTGGGCTCTGTGCTGACAGCCCAGAACCTGCTTGAGATTCTCTCTCCCTCTCTCTCTCTCTGCCCCTCCCCTGCTCACATGTTCTCTCTTTCTCTCAAAATAAATAAACTTAAAATAAGTAAATAATAGGGGAGCCTGGGTGGCTCAGTTGAGTGCCTGACTTCAGCTCAGGACATGATCTTGTAGTTTGTGGGTTCGAGCCCCACGTGGGGCTCACTGCTGTCAGCACAGAGCCTGCTTTAGATCCTCTGTTCCTCTCTCTCTGTGCCCCTCCCTCGCTCTCTCGCTCTCTCTCAAAAATAAACAAACATTAAGGAGAAATAAATGAAAGTCTAAAATGCAGGCCAGCAGCCTAGGTGGCTTAGTCGGTTAAGTGTCCAACTTTCGCTTAGGTCATGATCTCACAGTTCGTGGGTTCGAGCCCCGCATCGGGCTCTGTGCTGACTGCCAGCTCAGAGCCTGGAGCCTGTTTCAGAGTCTGTGTCTCCCTCTCTCTCTGACTCTCCCCTGCTCACACTGTCTCTCTCTCTCCTAGAAATAAATAAAAATATTTTAAAATAAATAAATAAATAAAATAAAATAAAATGCAGGCCAGTGTTCCTCATGGAGGCTCCAGGGAGCATCTACTTATCCACATTTCCCAGCTGCCAGGGGCCACCCGCTTTCTTTGGCTGGTCTCTCCCTTTCTCTGTTTCCAGAGCCAGCAGTGTGGCATCTTCAGATCTTTCTCTCTGTCCTTCGCTCCTGCCAGCACTTCACCTGTCTGACTCTGACCTTCTTGCCTCCCCCTCTGTCATATAAGGTGGCGTTCACAGGTCAGAACGGGACCATCCGTGGGGGACTATCACTCTGCCTCCCACATGGGCAGCTTTCAGGGTCATGGCCACATGTCCTCAGTGTTCAGTCTCGCTTTTGGTCCGAGATGGATCTGCGGGTGCTACATCCCCATTCCAGACAGTCGGAGGCAGGCAAGCTGAGTGAAAGGTATAGAAGCCACACTGTCGCCTCCCTTCTTGCTTGGCCATCGCTCGCTGCAGGGGAGTCGAGAAACTTAATCTCTGGTTGAGGAGCTGTGTGCCTGCAAAACTCAGGAGTTCATTACCAGGGATGCAGGGAGAGCGGTGTCATGGGTGGCAAACAGCCGCTGCCACAGAGTTCCTGCGGGAAGGAGATACTGTTTGCTCAAGGGTTTCCTGTTGTCATAGATGGGGGGTGAGGTGGGGCAGGGAGATACACATTTCAGCACAAAGACAAGAAAAAGGAATAGACTGGCAGGACCAGACCGGACCTTTGGGGCTCATCTGCTCCTTCTTCTCCTTCCATGGAGAACTTGCACCCAGATACCTCAGGAAGGTTTCTTCCTGTGAGCTGCCTTTTCCGCAAGTTCTTTAGTCAAAAAATTCCCTTTCATGTCTAGCTTACTGCCTTCTCTCATTTCTTATCTAGAAACAGACCACCTTTCTATCTAGAAACAGAACAATTGTCCCTCACCTGTCCCTGCCTCTTTACCCATCATTGTTCTTGGGGGTACTTCCTGCCTCTTCTTCCTGGCTCCAGAAGGATCCCACTTCCCTGCAGTCATTTGCCACCTGATAGATGAGTCCTGTCCCCTGGGGGAGAAGAGATGGTGGCTGGATGATGGTTCGAGATGCAAGGGAATGAACCCAGCCAGAGGCTGCCTGTCGGCCTCGGAGGAAGCAGTTCTCATAGCAGGTGCACTCCTGCATGAATGAGGGCCCTGCCTGTCCTGATTCAGACATCAGAGCTCTGGGGGCTCAACCGGTTGAGCGTCCGACTCTTGATTTCAGCTCGGGTCGTGATCCCAGGGTCGAGGGATCAAGCCCTGTGTCGGGCTCCTTGCTGAGCACAGAGCCTGCTTAAGAGCCTTTCTTTCTCTCCCTCTGCCCTTCTCCCATGAGCTCTCTCTCTCAAATAAAATTAATTAATTAAGACATCAGAGCTCCAGGATAGGAGTAGCACGTGCATGATTCCTTAAGCGCGAGGCGGGCTCTGAGGAGTGTGCAGGGCCCCGTCCTCCTCAGGGCTGATGCTTTGCCAGAATGGGCTACGCACCCTGCCCCTTGACACCTGTGTCCTGTCTCCCTGCAGGGCCAGCGACCCGTCACCTTGATCGGCTTCAGCCTGGGAGCCAGAGTCATCTACTTCTGTCTGCAAGAGATGGCTCAGGAGAAAGGTGAGTCTGGCTTATTGTCGCCGATGAAATTCCCAAGCTCATCCCCCGGGCAGGAGGTTCTGGGCCAGAGGTCATGAGCCTTGTGAATATGTTCCCGGTTCTTGGTGACAGTCGTTAAAAGTGAAAGATAGTTTGAAAATAGGCAAAACAGTGACGCTGGTTGGAAAATGGTTTGTTTGTTTTTCTGTACATAAATTTGAGTGGACGCGAGACGGTCCTGTAATAATGGCATCGCCATAGCCTTCTCATGTGCATTCTTGAGTGGGAGCGAAGGGAGTCGGACAACAAGTCAGAAATCGCGGCGGCTGTGGGGCTTCATTGCCTGGGAGGTTCTAGGGGATGACCCTTCTCCGTCTCTTCCAGCTGCTGGTGTGGCTGGCAGTCCTCGGCCCTCCCCATCCTCAGTCATCTCCTTCCTGTCTTCTATTCTAAGGACAATCTTACTGGATTTATTCCCCCCTCCCCCCAAGGCCAGCATGATCTCATCTCGGGATCTTGAACTTGATTACGTTTACGTAACATCTGAAGACACCTTTTCCAAAGAAGTTGCCCTTCGCAGGTGCCGGGCACATGTATCTTTGGGGACAAGCCTTCACAGACACCTTTGGGTGCGTGTCGTGCCGTCTGGGGACATACTTGGAGTGCTGAGGCAGTGGAAAGCTTGAGTGGTGCTGCTGCCGGCCTTGGGAGGGTGAGGTCTCCAGGACAGAGTGCTGGTTTGGGACGGATCGGGCAGCAGAGGCTGCCTGTAGGGGAGGCTGGGGGACGAAGGCACAGAGCCCGGGACTCCTGGAGTGGCCCGCAATCTGCGGGGCCCAGACTTATGTCTCCCGGGGGAGCACAGCAGCACCAGGACCCTGGGGCAGGAGGCGGCACTGCCACAGTGACTCCTTGGCCTGGGAGCCGAGGGTGGGTGGCAGGGCGGGCTGGAGTTCCACCCAGCGGTATCCCTGGGGCTGTCTCGAACGCCCCTCTGGGCACCGGCTCCCGCACTGATAAAATGGGGTTCTAACGCTCAGCCCGCACGTGGGCTCTGAGGTGCCCTGAGTATTGGACGGTATTTCTGCAAATTGTAAAACCGTGGTTGGCCGGATTCAGCTCAAGTGTGTCCGTTTGCAGCTTCTGCTCTTCAGAGCTGCCCCCGGCCACGTCCCACGTGACCTGCTTGCTAACCAGTTCCCAGCAAGCAAGGAGGGTCGGGAATGCCCGCCGGTGGATGGACCCAAGGGAGCCGGACGCGTTGGGGCTGACTGGGGTCTTGGCGGTGCTGGCAGCACCAAAGGGCATGTGAGAGACCCTGGAGCTTGGGGGCATGACCCAGTCCTGCTCTTTCTGTTTTGCTAAAACGTTTCCCCACCTTGGACTGAGGACCAGAGCTGTTTTCCCGGTTGCACGGGCAAGGTGGATATGCCGTCCTTGGCATCTACCATGGAAGGGCCAAGCCCCTGTGTGTGAGGCCTGCAGATGAGCCTCGCACCTTCTCTGTGTCATTTTGGGGGACCCCACCCCCACTCCCCTGTAGCTTTCAACAGTCCCCTTGTCACCCAGTTTTGTCTGCGTCACTAAGCAATGAGGAGGCACCTCTGTCCTGTTTCCAGGAGCTTTGGATAACCTGGGACCACCATGCAGGAGGGCCAGCTCGGGGCTGTGTTCACCGGGAAAATCCAGGCTGGGGTCAGAGGTTCAGGCAAAAACCACTGAGGAGGGAGGGCTGAATCCAGGGCTCTGGTGAAAGTTAGTTTCCATTTCCCTCGTGGAGAACGTTGTACTATTCCTTTCTGAATAAACCCTTCCCCTCCCCAGACATCACCAGAGCAGAGTGAGTCAAGAAGACATCTCTGACCTGCCTTTCCTGCTCTGCCTGCTACAAATAATCCACCTGGGCGGGGGGAGGGGGGGGATGCCTGGGGGGGCTCAGTCAGTTAAGCGTCTGACTCTGGATCTCAGCTCAGGTCATGATCTCACAGTCGTGGATTGAGCCCCGCGTCAGGCTCTGCACTGAGCATGGAGCCTGCTTAAGATTCTCTCTTCCACTCTCTCTCTCTGTCCCTCTCCCCTGCTTTCTCTCTCTCTCTCAATAAATAAATAAGCACTTAAAAATATAATAATCCACCTAGGACCTTTGGCCTGCTGGGAGGAACTCCCTGGAGACCTACTATGTCACCCCGTCCTCAGTGGGGCTGCAGCAAAGGGCTTTGTCGGTGTACAATGACACCATTGATTCCTACTACATAATGCCATAATCTGTGTTCCTACAATGTTGTGCAAATGACAGCTGTACTGTCAGAATCTCTCACGAAAATTGGGGGGGATGGAGTTCTTCATACAGGACACAGGACCTTCGTTACAAATGTGTGGGTTATAGAGAGGCAGGATGGGTGTATCAGTCAGCTTTTGTTGTAGCAATGCTGCGTAACGAGACATCCCCTGAACTCAGAGGCTTACAATACCAGACATTTTCATGCTCAGGATCTGTGGGTTGTCTGTGGTTCGGTTGCTCTAGAACAGGCTCTGTTTCTGGCTGCGGGTCAGACAGGCTTGGCCTCAGGCCGCAGGCTGGGCTCACGTCCGCTCCATGTGCATCTATTCCATTGAGGCTGACAGGCAGCCGCCACCCAGGGCATGGTCCTCTTTAGAGTAGATTGCTAGAGTACCAGAGCCAAGGCCAACCACAGGTGCACCTCCAGGATCTCTGTTGGTGCCGGACTTACATTCTGTGTCTGTGCTTTATTGCTACAAACAGCCTCTCCAAGCTTAGTGGCTTAAAAAACAGCAAAAACTGGGTATTTCTCACAGCTCTGTGGGTTGGCCAGGAAGTTCCTCTCCTCTCCACACCTGGGCTCACTCGTGCAGCTGCAGGCACAGCTGGAAGGCTTGGAATATCCAGTCCGACCTCCCCCGCTGGCCGGCCGCAGGTGCTGGCGGTCACCCGGCATGCCTCAGTCCCTCCTGGTGGGCCACACATCCTTCTGTAGGCTCACCTGATAGCCTTACGTGGTGTTCTCGGGGCAGTGTTTCAAGGGGCCAGAGTGAAAGCATCTCCATCAGTAATAGATGGTGGACTGACAGTGACTAGAGCAGAGCACAGTCACGTAACACACTCACATAACACACTCATGTAATATGCTCATGTAACACGCTCCACATTTGCATCTGCCGGCAGCAGTTTGATGCCCTTCCCATCTGTTATCTCCCATAATCCTCCACAGCAGTTTTGTCAGGTTGATGCCGTTACGGTGCCCATTTTACAGATGAGTAAACTGAAATATGGACCTCAGGTAACTTGCCCAAACCATGGCAGAGCAGACAGGCTGGCTACAGGTTGTGTGATCTCGACTCCAAGGCCAGACCACCTCTCCGGGCCACCATTCCATTCTTCCCTGAGCATCTTTCACCCCCTGTGATGGAAGCAGGTCCCTGGGGCAGCTGCGGGGGGCAGCCCTGGCCAGGAACCACAACGCTGGCTTCCTCATCTTCCTCATCACTGCATCCGGAGCCTGTGGCCGGCTCACATCTGTCACGCATATGAACACATGACAAGCGAACCAAGTAAAGGAATGAGCCCCACTGTGAGTCGGGGGCGGGGGCCTGCGCGCCGGCCTCCCCCACCTTGTGGGGAAGAACCCTGTCTCACTCAGCTCTGTGCTGCCGGCACCCACCGCTGATGCTCACAGATTCCTGCAGGGGAAAGGGAGCCTTTCTATGTTGGCAGCATTGAGGTCATCTGTGTTTTACTTAGAAAACCTCTGCATTTTAAAAGAAGAAGTGGGAGCCGCCAGGGTGGGAAGCCCTCCAAGTAACAAGAGTTTGGGAGGAATCTGAACAGAAAGCCTGTGGTCCAAAGTGCAGCTGGTTTTCTTCCCTCTGCTTAGAAGGGAGAACTCACAGCCCAAAGACTCATAAGTCTTCATTCTTTTGTCTTGGTTTTTTGGGGTTTTTTGTTTTTTTGGGTTTTTTTGAGAGAGAGACAAAGACAGTGTAAGCGGGGGAGAGGCAGAGAGAGAGAGAAAGAGAGAGAGAGAGAATCCCAAGCAGGCTTAAATTCACGAACCAGGAGATCGTGACCTGAGCTGAAACCAAGAGTCAGATGCTTAACCACCTGAGCCACCCAGGCACCCCGTGACTAAGTCTTCATTCTTGATAGTTCTGCTAGTTTCCCCTCATGTTAATAATGTCCTGTCCCACCCTGTGTCTGGACAGGAGGTGAGAGGGCTCTGGGAACCCTCTGCTTTGACCTTGGTCCTGAACTAGTTAGTCTTGGCTTGTTCCCGAGGTAGCAGCGGCTGTGTGCACCGCAGCGGAGGATGAGGCCGGGCTGTCTCCTGTGCCGGGGTGTGCAGGCCACACTCAGTTCAACCCACTTCACCCCCTTGGCCTTCTCAGCAACTCCATGTAGAGGGGCACCTGCCAAAGCTAAGGCTCAGAGCCCTTTATACCACCCCACTCCACCCATTTCCCTTTCTCTTTCTGGAGAGGGACGGAACTCCTGATGGCTCCCAGAAATGGGAAGTTGAACACAAAACACACCAACCTGCAAAAGGGAGCTGAAAGGTCCTGAATCCCGAGAGCATGCCCCCCCGCCAAGAGCCCTCGGGGGGCCAGGGGGCCCAGGGCTGTGACTCTAGCAGCACCTTGCACGCCACCCTTCTTTAACCTACCCCAGAAAGTGAAACCAATAAAAACACGCACAGACACACACCCACAAAAATACACTCACACATGTTCACGTTTATGCAAACGCCCTCCAGTGGGCCTTGAAGTTCGTTCTGCAAACTCCCTCTTACCGGCACCCCAACAAGCCTCTGACCTTCCAGGGCTCCACAGCCCACCATCCGGTCCCCACCCGTTCTGTTCTGCAGGCCGGGCACAGCAGGAGGGTGGCAGCAAGATGCAGTGGTTGGTGGTCGTGGGGGAGGGGGCTCCTCCCCACTGAGAAGCTGCTGGCTTAGCGGGGGCACGGGCTCCGCAGGTAGGGCGTCTGGTTGGAACCCCAGACCCAC